ATAACTTTTATTTATTATAATTTCCAGAAGGAGTTCTTTATTTCTTGTTTTTCTATATTTAAATCATTTTTAATTCTAATTAAATTTTCTGCATCATACAAAATTGAACGATACGCTTTGTATTGTTTAACAATGTAAACAAAAGACAATATAATACAATAACAATATTTTTAGCATCACATATTTTTTGAAGTATTTTACACGTTATACACATTTTATAATATTACAATTTTTATGTTCGTGGCCAACAAGTTGTTTTAATATTATTGTTTTTGAACGTTTGAATTTGCTTGCATAATAATAGCATATCGTTACAAATTTAAAAGCGAAACAATTTTTTTATAAAATCCAATAACAATAATACTTAAACAAATATTTTTTCACCTTTTATGTCTGGTATTCTAGTTTAATTCAATCCGACACTACACTAGTCTTAAATAAGGAGTTTAATATAGGCAATTATCAGAAAAAAAAAATAAAACTTATTCGATATACTCAATGAAAGAGTGGAGACATGATTCGATTACAGAACTTACGTTAACTTCATACCAGAAATGCGAATAGTAAGTGTGAACAGTTTAAACGAAGCACAAAATAAACCAGCACAGTAATAAACAGATAAATCCATGTTTCTTGTTTTAATTTTATGCCTAAAAAATGCAATAGATAATGCATTAGAAAGTTTCATATTATCTATAGTAACTTCTACTACATCAAAGTATATACAAACACACTAAGATTGAATGAACACATTGTAAGAAGTCGAATAAACAGATATTGTGCGTAGTTCTAAAATATGGAATTTGAAAAATTCAAGTTCTTAAAATTCCTAGTAAAAATAAGCGCTGTACAAATTTCAAAATTTTAAGTTCAAATCCTAAAAAGTTATAGCTTCTTCAATATAGCACTTTTCTGTGAAATACCAAACTATGAAGTTACTTATACATCATAAAAAAAAAAATATTATGAGATTTGAGTCGGCATGCAAATTCAATGAAATTCATAAAATTTGGAATTTGTTTTTCAATTTTGGCTACTTAAAAATCTTTTTTTTTTAAGAATACTATGAAAACGTCCCCTCAAATTAATTGCTTTGTTATATTCTAGGTGTGAATCATAAAAACACATGTTGGTTTTTTTCGTATTAGCTTATCGCTTAGTTAGTTCAGAAGGTAAAATATTCAGCAGTTGTTTTATTTGTTATTATGATACATAGACCATAGCTGTAACTACATATTATTGTTTACTATTACTAAAAAAAAAATGGTTATTTTAATTGAGTCACAACAGATGTTCATTTGGTATTATTTTTTTATTCCAAGATTATAGTAATATAATAATATTATTAGTAAAATTCGACTACAACATGGAATGAAAGAACTACTCAGAGCCACAACAGATGCAGTACAACGGCTAGGCTAAACATCCTAGACATACAAATCTAAAAGATGAAATACATATACCCATCACGCACCCACTACTAGTCAACTTATTACCTACACAATGTGTTATCATTTTTTAATTTTAATTTGTATCTACTTGCCTTTTTTTTATCATATAAGTTATATTTCTTTTTAATTTTATATCGTGTTATGTCAAATTGTTAATGTTGTATTTAAGCCATACGAAATAGTAATAATTATTAGTCACAACAAATTGCAACAAAACAATTATTAAATAAAATTTTATCGCTATAATAGGAAAATAAAATAAAGGTCATTAATCTAAATACATACACATGCAACACCCTTTTATATCTAATAATTAATATTTTACTTCTTAAACTTGCGTTTCAATTTTGGCTAAATCATTGATTGCAAATACTAGTTATACATTTTTTTTTACATTTTATAAAGTGGCTTTCCACAGTTTTTCCTCAAACTAATTTGGTTTATCGTTTGTTTATTCAAATTTTTCAACTATTTTACAATAATTATGGCGAAAAACTATTTTGAACGTTAAGATACAAAATTATTATATTAATTTGTCCCAGTAAACATTTTTATAATTATTACCTATTACTACATTTGATTCGACTGTACAGAACATGTATAATAATACTATTTTATAAATTGAAACTAATTAAAGAATGTAGATGAGTTAAATTATTATATTCAGTGATCGGAAAATATGAAGACAACGATAAAGAAAGTTGTTACCTAGAATATAGGACAGACGTAGGTAAAGAAAACATTTTTATAAGTATTGTTATAGGTGTTTATACAGAATTATTATTAACTTAAAATATCTGTAACAATATGGTATAGCTACTATCATGCCATCAAAATCAAATAATAAAACAATATATAGCCAAAAAACCATTTGATTTCTATGAAAACTGTATTTGTTAAGTATATCAGTTCTCTCAAGGTTAAAACTTAAAAAATTGAGTCGTTAACAGTTATTTGTATTTTGTCTAGAAGATACATTTATCGTTGGATTTTTTTGACAAAGTGGCGGAAAGAGTAGGGCGTGAACAATTGAATCCAAGTGGTCTAGAAGTCTGTTATCGTCATCTTGAATAAAGCATATTTTTCTTAAGTAAACACAAGAACTCATAGTAATATAGGCAATCTAAATAAATATGACGAATGCAAATCTAACCAACAAAAGGCTACCAGATCACCACTAACAGCATCAGTGTTTTTTTTAGTTTCTTTGTGTTCAGCATATCAAACATAAAAAAAAGTAAGCGATATTTTAAATTATTTTAGTATGAAAATAGTAGGTATTATGTTTTTCTTTAGATTTTAAAAATCTTTTTTCTCATTGCCGACAAAAAACCATTACAACTGAAACATATTTATGTATTTTTTTTTCCATGAAAAAGAATTAAAATTTGGTAACATTTTAACGTTCAAACTTTACCATTTTTAATTTTTTACAAAGTATCCAAGTTCTTAACTTTTTTTTTTGTAGTTTCTAGAGCACTAACAACTTTTGATCATTTTTTATCGTATACCTATATTTTTTCCTATATTTTTAATTTAGTAAATTTAAAAAAAATTTATGTCAATTTTTACTGGTCAATAGGATTAGAACAGTATTCGATTTTATAATTTTTTTCTGCTTTCTGCATAACATAATAAAGTAGCCGAAAAACTCAAATCTCTCCACAAGAATTGAAATTGGACCATCCTATGTAGTCTACATTTTGGCCTAAAATAAACCAAAATTGCTTTTACAATTATCCTATAAATTAAACGACATTGTCGAAATTTAAAAACCTCTTCTTTTTCGTTAATATTTCCTGTACAAAACTCCTTAAAAACAGACCGCATACAATCATATAAATAAGTACATCTTTGGCAAACATTAAAAAAAAAAAAAATGTTGTATTCGAATCAATTCCGTTTTTCACCAATGGTTGTGTTCCGATTGACGCCAACATATATTACAATATGTTTTCTAACTAATATTTATTAGTTTAATATGATGACCAGACCAAACCGGAATTTTAATTTGTATACAGATTTGAAATTTCAATTAGACCCTGAGTTTATTGCACGGGCTACCGAGGCCTGGGACAAAGTTCGTCGTGGATTAGAAGAAGGAAATTCAGTCAACCGAAATAAAAAAGCACGTGCTATTTTACTCGATATTACAATAAAGAAAATAAATGAGAAGAAGGCCAAAAATGAATTAAAAACTTCAGAATTTTATGCAGATAACCGACGAGAAACTCTATAGCCTCATCAATTTTTTCATGGAGGACGTAAAAAATAATTTATAAAACAAAAGTATTGATGATTTGTAACTTATAATTCATTCAGTTTTGTTTGATTGAAGCTTCATTGTTTATTTTTACATAATAAACTGTATTATATTAAAAATCGTTTTTAATATTTTAATTTGTCACGTTAAGTTAAACAATACACACGGCATATATGCCGTCAATTGGATTTACTATGTTTGGCCAAAACAATCATTTATTATGTATTGATGATTTAAGGCCAATTTCAAACGTTGTCTGACCGTCAACAAAGAAAAAAGATTTGTCTCAATTCCTCTTCTTATCTTTGATTAAATATAATATTATTCTATGTAACATGATAAAATAAAAAATGATTGAAAAACAAGTTGGAAATGAACAATGCGATCAAATATGTTTGCAGAATTAAAATTTCATCATTCTAAGTAGACGTAAATTGATCAGGATTTTAGATGTAAATATGTTTCTTGTATCACCAAAATGGTTTTAACTCATAGTAAAAATTGTATACTTTAACAAACACTGTAATACACTAAAGCTTAACCTGAAATGAAATTGATATGGTCGACAATAGGTAAACTTTTTTTTTAACTTAAGTTGTTTTATTTATTTTTTAATTTATCCACATCGAAGCTAGAAAACTTTTACTCCATCATATCCTAATACTTCCGCCCTAATTACTCTAACGTGTGTCAAATTCAAGGGTCCAGATATTCTTCATAATAAGTTCCTATCCGATAATTATCATAAAAGTGTTAGCAAGTTCACTTATTAAATTTAAAATCTGAAGCCCTCTCTTTAACGTATTATGTTGTCAGACTTATAATCTAAAACTTACATGGTTTTGTATAAATAACTTATTTTTTTTTTTTATTAGGCATCGCTAGAAACTACATACAGCTAGATGTGCAGACTATACATACAAGACCCTTTAAAATCTATAATAATTAATATTTTACTTCTTAAACTTGCATTTCAATTTTAGTCAAATCATTGATTGCAAATTCTATTTATAATCAGTGGTTAAATCTTTTGCTAAGCCAGCGATACATTTTATAAAGTTGTTTTCTAGAATTTTTGTATAGTTTTATTTTTATTATTCTGTACCCTTGATATAACTTTAGGTGTTTTACATTCTTGTAAGTACCGCATTAGGTAAATCGACCGACAAAGTGGCGGAAAGTAGGGCTTGAACAATTGAATCCGATTGGTCTAGATGATTGTTATCGTCGTAATATCTTGAATAAAGCATATTTTTCTTAAGTAAACACAAAAGTATTACGGATCCGAAAAGTCGCAAATCTAACTAACAGAAGGCAACCCAAGTACCAATAACAGTATTAGTGTGTTTTTAAGTTTCATTGAGATAAGTTTATCTAGTATAAAAGTAAGCGTTATTTGAAATTATTTTAATAAGACAACGGTAATATGTTTTTCTTTAAATATTAAAAGTATTTTTTTCTTATTGCCGACATAAAACCATTACAACTGAATTGTACCACCATTACAATTTTCCTCGAAAAATAATTAAAATTTGGTAACGTTTACATTTTAACGTTCAAACTTTACCATTTTTAACTTCTTACAAAGTATCCAAATTTTTAACCTAATAAATTAGAAATAATTGAATGTCAATTTTTACTGGTCGATAGGATTAGATTAGTTTTCGATTTTATAATTTTAAGCAAAGGAATTAAACTTTTACAATTAAATCAAATAAAGAAAAGTATAAAATTATAATAATAATATACAAGATGATGTTTTTAATTGTACTTAACTGTTTAAAATTTTTTTTTTAGGTATTTAAGATGAAATCCAACGCGAGTGTTGCGCTTGTTGCAGTGTATTTGTTCGGTCTTATTGTAAGTAAACATAGATTTTGGACTAAATTTTAACTATTTCATTATTAATGTAGTTTAATCCTTTCCTCTCAATATTCTTACACCTAACTCTTAAGTAAATCAGTATTAAGTTTTCCTTTAGTTAATGCGTCAACTTGTAAAACACTTTTTAAATATCATTATATAATATTGGCCACTTGTACCAATATTGGTATTCACCAAACCTAACCTACATATTCGTTGCCTGTATCAATAGATTTAGATGTAATTGTGTTGAACCACCGCATAGGCTCGCGCTCTATCGCGCTCTATAATACCACTGCTTGTGAAGTGTATGATACTACTAATATTAGTGTATGCTATTCAGGTTTCATTGAATAGTTCGCCCATGGGAACATGCGGTAGCAAGGAATCAGAGACATCAGACACCTTGCTCGTAGCTATAAGAAACTATATATAGTTATATGATAAATGTAAATATATAAAAACTAGTTAGCACTTGTATATATGTCTTTCAGATACCATTGAATAGTTCGCCCATGGTACCAGGTGGTGGCGAGACATCAGAGGCATCAAACACCTTGCCCGTATCTATAAGAAACTATATAAATAATGTAAATATATAAAAACTAGTTTGTACCTATATATTATGTCTTTCAGATACCAATGAATTGTTCGCCCATGGTACCAGGCGGTGGCGAGACATCAGGGACATCAGAGACATCAAACATCTTGGCCGTACGTATAAGAAACTATATAATAAATGTTAATATATAAAAACTAGTTTGTACTTATTTCGGTCAAGCACTAATGATTTCCAGGGCCTCTTTAATTTCACAATGCATTTTCTTTGACCTATCTTAAGTAAAACTGCAAGCCTAGTGTACTTTAATACATTGAGTATTTGACGACAGTCGAAAAGAACTCTATGTTATACTAGTAATAATACTAATACTAATACGTCGGTCTTTCAGATTTTAAAACACAAGAGTGTAAATCAATTATCCAAGGCTGAATTACAAATTGTAACAGAACATGACTTCAAGAAAGCACTAGCCGGTGTAAAAAATAAGAGTATTTTAAGTTGCTGTGAGTATTTAAAAAAAGTATTTTTCACTAATAAGCGAAGCGTAAATAAACTTAATAGTGGTGTATTAAGTTTAAATCCTAACAAAACGAATATTTTTTAGCTAAAAAAGTCCAATAAAAATGCCTATATTTTGTTAAATTTTCAATATATATGTACTCGTATATATATATATAATTGTGTATTATAATACCTAACTAATATTTATTAGTTTAATACAATGACCAGACCAAACTTGATATATTATTTGTATACAGTTTCGAAAATACAACTAGACCCAGAGTTTGTTGCACGGCTTATCGATGCCAGGAATATCCTTCTTGGTTGTGAAAAAGGAAATCACGAGGACCAAGAAAAAAATATATTTTTTTCTATATTCTTTGTAATAAAATCAAAATTAAAGGAGACACTGGGCCAAGAGAAATTAAACACTAAAGAATATGAAAATATCGACAAAGAAATAGAAGGGTTCATTTTTCGGTTCATAGGAAAAGTGATATAATTAATAAAATAAAAGTATTGATGATTTGTAAATGATAATACATTGGTTTTGTTTGACTGGAGTTTTATTGTTTATTTTTACACAATAAACTATAAATGTATTAAAAATCGTTGTTAATATTTTAATTTGTCACGTATAGTTAAACAATACACACGGCATAAGTCCCACCAATTGGATTTACTTTATTTGGCCAAAATAAACATGTATTATCTATTATAGATTTAAGGCCAATTCTAAATGTCGTCTGGTCGTCAACAAAGGAAATAGATTAGTCTCAATTCTTCTTTTCATCTTGTATTTAATATAGTACTATTCTATGTAACATGATGAAATAATGATGGCATGTTTGTGCCATAAACACAACTGGATATTTAAAATAATGATGAAATTAACTCATTTGGTTTTTTTGAAAAACACAAAGTTACAAATTTATAAAAAAATCAAAATGTATAAAAGATACAACCCCTCAGTGACACACATTAATTTAGATTCGGGGTTAAAACCAAGGATACTGTATTTTTTTATTTTCTGGGTCAATTATGATTTGTGTGCCAACAGTCAAGTCAATAGTTAAAAAGCTTTCACATATACTAGATTTTAAGGGTTTTGTTGTAGACAAATATGATGTACATAGTATTGAGGACACTTTATTAGTAGTTGAATTCTTATCAGGCTATCACACAATATTTAATAACACAACATTTCTAAAAAAACAGCTCCTCGTCTGAAACAAAAAATGGGTGCCTACTGCAATTCTACTACAATTATAATAAGCTGTCAATTTTGAATAATAATCATTTTACTCAAATAAAATATTCAAACGAGAAAATAGGAAAAACGTAGAAATCAAATAATAAAACAAGATATGTCGAAAAAACAACTTGATTTCTATAAAAATTGTATTTGTGAAGTAAAACGGTTCTCTCGATGTAAAAATTTAAAAATTGCATTGTTAACAGTCATTTGATTCTTGTCTAGAAGATACAGACTGTATCGTTGGCTTTTTTTTTAATTACATAGATTCTAACTAGAATAAAACATGTTAGTTGAATACATGAAAACTGATTAATGGTCATTAAATACGATATAGTTTTATGCCATAAGGTGTGAAAAAACATATAATAAGAATGTTACTTTTAAAATAAATAATAGGGATTCAATTTTATATCACGTACCGCAATATAAATTGTTTAAAAATATGTTTTTTTCCAACTGTAGCTTATACCCTATACCCTTATACCCTAACGCTTGACAGGGGTATATATATATATATATATATATATATACATTACAACCATTACAACTGAAACATATTTATATAATTATTTTTTCCTCGAAAAATAATTAAAATGTTTAAACTTTACCATTTTTCATTTGATAAAGCATTCACATTTTAAGAGTAAAATAAAGTATAAAATAAATATTAAGATAGTAAAAAATATACAAGAAATACGACAACAATATTAATTACAGCGTATTTTAGCAATAGTTTTTCTATTAGGCGATACTGTTTTTGTCAGTTTTTATCATGCTATAGTTTGTTGTTTATCAAAAACAAGTGTTTTTTCTTAAACTAACTTTGTTTTGTCATTTGGTTATTCAAATGTTTGAACTATGTTACAATAACTATGGCGAATAACTATTTTGTACGTTAAGATACATAATTATTGTATTAAAATGTCCCAATGTAAACGTTTATAATTATTACATTTGATTTGATTGTAAATATAACAGTCCTCTCAAGGTTAAAACTTTTAAAATTTTTTAAAACACTGTCTCTAATGTTAACATTGCTAAATTAATATGATAAATAATTGATTGACTGATAATTATTTCCAAAAAAATGTCTTTTATATATTTATAAAAATAAGCGGAAATGTAAAATTTACATTATTTTTATAATTTATAAGACATTTGCTTTTACCTACAGTTAATATTAAATATTGGTTGTTAAAATATTTTTAGCTTATGACCGATTAAAGGCATTATAGCATTAGAGATTTGTAAAATTGAATTATCATGAATAGTTTTTTTTTTCAAGTTCCATCAATACATTTTATTTTACATTTTATAAAGTTGTTTTCCACAGTTTTTGTATAGCTATCATACGATATTATGTTATGGTTTGTTGTTCGTCGAAAAGAAGTTATTTTTTTTAAACTAATTTTGTTTTGTCGTTTGGTTATTCAAATGTTTGAACTATGTTACAATAACTATTTTGTACGTTAAGATACATAATTATTGTATTAAAATGTCACAATGTAAACATTTATAAATATTACATTTGATATAAATGTAAAGAACACGTATAGCGATATTATGTCCAAAAAACAACTTGATTTCTATAAAAATTGTATCTGTAAAGTATAACAGTTCTCTCAAGGTTAAAACTTTAAGGATTTCGACTTAGATTATATCTAAGAAAAACATATTTATAAAATGCCGTTTTTTTTTTAATGCAGACAGGCCTATGTTTTTGTATATAACTTAGGTGTGTCACATTCTTGTAAGTACCGCAACTACGCCCATCGGACAAAGTAGCGGAAAATAGGGCGGGAACAATTGAGTCCGATTGGCTTAGAAGTTTGTTATCATCATAATAACATCTTGAATAAAGCATATATTTCTTAAGTAAACACAAAAGTATGACGTATGCGAAGAACCGCAAATCTAACCAACAAATGGCTAACCGAGCAGTTAGTAAAACAGTATTAGTGTGTTTTTGAGTTTCTTTGCGTTAAGTTAGCATAAAAGTAAGCGATATTTGAAATTATTTTTCGTAAAACAATGGTGTCATAGGACAATGTTTTTTTAAAAAATTTAAAATTGTTTTTCTTAATGGCAACATAAAGTCATTACAACTAAAAAAAAAAATAATCGTTTTTACGAAAAATAATTACAATTCGGTAACGTTTACATTTTAACGTTCAAATTTTACCATATATAACTTTTTATAATGTATCCAAATTTTTAAAACTTTTTTTGGTATTTTTTAGAGCGCTAACAACTTTTGAAAATTTTGTATCGTATACCAAGGTTATTATTAATAATCTTTAATGAGTTTTTTTATTGTTTTAGGTATTTAAAATGAAATCCAACGCGAGTGTTGCGCTTGTTGCAGTGTATTTGTTCGGTGTTATTGTAAGTAAATATAGATTTTGGACTAAATTTCAACTATTTCATTATTAATGTAGTTTAAACCTTTCCTCTCAATATTCTTATACCCAACTCTTAAGTATTATTTTTTTCATTAAAAAAGTTCAAGTTTATTAAATCAGTATTAAGTTTTCCTTTAGTTAATGCGTCAACTTGTAAAAGACTTTTTAAATATCATTATATAATATTGGCCACTTGTACCAATATTGGTATTCACCAAACCTAACCTACATATTCGTTGCCTGTATCAATAGATTTAGATGTAATTGTGGTGAACAACCGCATAGGCTCACGCTCTATCGCGCTTCAAAATACCACTGCTAGTGAAGTGTATGATACTACTGATATTAGTGTTTGCCTTTCAGGTTTCAATGTATAGTTCGCCCATGGTACCAGACGGTGGCGAGACATCGGGGACATCAGAGACATCAAACACTTGTCTTGTATCTTTAAGAAACTTTATAACAAAAGTAAACACATAAAAACTAGTTTGTACTTATTTAGGTGAAGCACTTATGATTTCCGGAGCGTCCCTAATTTTATATTACAGTTTCTTTGACCTATGTTTGATCTCACTAAAGACTAGTGTACATTAATACATTGGGTATTTGACGACAGCCGATAAGAACACTATGATGCTAGTAATAATACTAATACTAATATGTGGGTCTTTCAGCTTGTGACTTGCATTATACCAGGCGACGACGAAACCTTGCCACCATCTATAAGAAACTACATAATAAATGTAAATATTTAAAAACTAGTTTGTACTTATTTAGGTCAAGCACTAATGATTTGCATGGCCTCTATAATTTTATATTTTATTTTCTTTGACCTATCTTAAGTAAAACTGCAAGCCCAGTGTACTTTAAAACATTGAGTATTTGACGACAGTCGACAAGAACCGTATGTTATACTAGTAATAATACTAATACTAATATGTGGATCTTTCAGATTTTGATTCACAGGAGTCGTCCACCAGGATTTTCCGATGGTGAAATATTACATATTGTAACAGATCCTGATTTTTTGAAAAAAATAGATAGTTATAAAGATAATATTTTTATATCAGACTGTGAGTATTTATATAATTATTTTTCTCTTATACGAAAAGCAAAAATAAGGGTATTAAGACGATAGAAATTTAAGTTTAGAAAAATGCACTTATTGAAAAACACATTTATAGTCAAACGTTTGTCTATGTTGCCAATTTCCTAAACCTAAACTTTTAAATTTCTGTTTTAAACTTTTAATTTTCGTGGAAATTAACATAACAAAGAGTTCTCTGACTGACATCTGAACTGTCTGACATTATATTATTAAATTTTTATCTTTTTTAGTATTTGCTTTAGCTCTATTAACTTATATAACTTAATGACGTATATATCTTATAAGCTTTAAAATTTAGGAATAATTTACTGAAAAATTTTAGATAAAAATAGCTCTACTCTCCACCCTTCCTAAATTTTAAACTTTAATTATATTAAAACTATTCATTTAAAACTGGTTATCGACCAGTGAAAATGTTCAGCAAATTATAGTTAGTTTGAAAAGTTAGGAATATGTATACGTTATCATTTATGTTTCGAAATCTAATAAAGCTCAAGAAAATACTTAAAAGGTATACATTTAAATAGGTATTATCGCATACAGTAATAAAGCATAAACAAACACGTGTTCAAAAATTATAACTACATTACAATTGCAATTATTTTAAGAGTAAACTAGTATAAGACTTTAAACAACCACCCGGTATTTAAAACACTTGTTGATTAAAGAAAAGCGGGGTTTTTTTTACAATAGACGTTTCAGACCAAAAAGCCAGACAACAATTTCGACAACTTAGAGTGGTCAGATTTCAATTCTGTAAATATCTACAGAACACATAAAATTCACTGGCAAATTAACTAGGTTATGTAAGAAAGAGATTTTTGATTTTTTTATAAAATAGTATTTATTTAATTACAAGAAACTAGCATTTATGAATGAGATTCAGCTTAACTACATAACATAATAAAGTAGCCGAAGAACTCAAATCTCTCCACAAGGATTGAAATTGGACCATTCTATGTAGTCTTTATTTTGGCATAAAATAAACCAAAGTTGCTTTGACAATTATCCTATAAATTAAATGACATGGTCAAAATTAATTAAAGCCTCTTCTTTTTTGTTAATATTTCCTGTACAAAACTCCTTAAAAACAGACCGCATACAATCTTATAAATAAGTGCATCTTTGGCAAACATTTAAAAAAAAAAATTTGTATTCGAATATTATTATTAATTCCGACAATATGTTGTCTAACTAATATTTATTAGTTGATTACGACGACCAGACCAAACATGAATTGTTATTTGTACACAGATTTGAAATTTCAATTAGACCCTGAGTTTATTGCACGGGTTACCGAGGTCCAAGACCAAATTATTCTTGGATATCTAAATGAAAATTCAGTCAACCAAAATAAGATAGCACGTGATGCTTTACTCGATATAACAAAAAAGAAATTAAATGAGATGAAGGACAATAATGAATTAAAAACTTTAGAAAATTATGCAATTACCGACAATGAACTAATAAAAGTCATCAATTATTTCATAAGTGATGTGAACATGGATTTATAAAACAAAAGTATCGATAATTTGCAAATTATAATTCATTCGGTTTTGTTTGATTGACGCTTTATTGTTTATTTTTACATAATAAACTATATATTAAAAAACGTTGTTAATATTTTAATTTGTCACGTATAGTTAAACAATACACACGGCATATTTCCCGCCAATTGGATTTACTTTATTTGGCCAAAATAAACATTTATTATCTATTGAAGATTTAAGGTCAATTTTAAATGTCATCCCGCCGTCAACAAAGGAATTAAGATTAGTCTCAATTCTTATTATTATCTTGTAATAAATATAATATTATTCTATGAACATGATGTTTATCGAAAACAGGTGTTTTTCTTAAACTAATTTGGTTTTGTCGTTTTTTTATTCAAATATTTGAACTATGGTACAATAACTATGGCGAATAACTATTTTTTATAATTATTACATTCGATTTGATTGTAAAGAATATGTATACTGGTACTATTTTCTTAATGAAAACAAATTACAAGATAAAGATGAGTTAAATTATTATTTTCAGAGATCGAAAAATTTGAACACAATGATAAAATAATGTGTTATCTAGAATATAAGACATGCGTAGGTAAAGTAAACTTTTTTATTAGTATTGTTGTTGGTGTTTATACAGATTTTTATTTGCTATAATATCTGTAACAATACGGTACACCTACTATCATGCCATCAAATTCAAATGTTCAAACAAGAAAATACGAAAAATGTGGAAATCCAATAATAAAACAATATATAGCCAAAAAACAACTTGATTTCTGTAAAAATTGTATTTGTGAAGTATAACAGTTCTCTCAAGGTTATAACTTAAAAACTACAGTTCATACTCTTTACAGAGTGTTTCCCACCACGGCGGGCATGATATGAGTACATGAAAGGTACAGGGAAATAAACAGAAAAGTCCCTTTTGCTGTAATTTAAAGAAAACAGATTAAAAAATTGCAAAAAAAAAATGATTAAAACACATATTCTATTATTGATTTTAATCAAAAAGACATGTCTGTTTTTCGCTGTACCCTTCATATAACTTTAGGTGTGTCACATTCTTGTAAGTACCGCATTAGGTAAATCGACCAGACAAAGTGGCGGAAAGTAGGGCTTGAACAATTGAATCCGATTGGTCTAGAAGATTGTTATTGTCGTAATATCTTGAATAAAGCATACCTTTTCTTAAGTAAACACAAAAATATGACGTACGCGAAAAGTCGCAAATCTAACTAACAGAAGGCAACCCAAGCACCAATAAAAGTATTAGTGTGTTTTTGAGTTTCTCTGCGTTGAGTTTGTCAAACGTAAAAAAAGTAAGCGATATTTTTAATTATTTTATTAAGACAATGGTATTATGTTTTTTTTTAGATATTAAACATATGTTTTGCTTATTGCCGACATAAAACCATTACAACTGAAACATATTTATATTTTTTTGTCCTCGAAAAATAATTAAACTTTGGTAACGTTTACATTTTAACGTTCAAACTTTACCGTTTTTAACTTTTTACAAAGTATCCAAATTTTTTACTTCTTTTTTGGTAGTATCTAGAGCACTAACAACTTTTGAACATTTTGTATCGTATACCTATATTTTTCGTTTTTAATTAGTAAACTAAAAATAACAGAATGTCATTTTTTACTGGTCGATAGGATTAGAATAGTTTTCGATATAATTTAAAGCGAAGTAATTAAACTTTCACATTTAAATCAAATAAAGAAAAGTATAAAATAATATAAAAGTTGATGTTTTTAATTGTACTTAACTGTTTTTTTTTTTTTTTTTTTTTAGGTATTTATGATGAAATCTAGTATGATTGATGCGCTATTTGCGGTGTGTTTATTCGGTCTAATTGTAAGTAAATATAAATTTATTTGGACTACATTTTAACTGTTTCATTATTAATGTAGTTTAATCCTTTCCTCTCAATATTCGTATACCTAACAACTTAGTATTATTTTTTTCATACATTTTTGGAATAGAAAAAAAGTATAGTTTTTTTTTTTTTTAAATTATAACCTCAATAATTTAATCTCTATATTATTTTTACTGTATTGCTCAATTGTATACAACTACTTATGTTCATATTTTTTTTAAAGAAATAACCGTCATTTCACAATGTTATAAGAATATTAATAGTATTTCACTTTTTGTACGCAGTATATTATTATAATATGATTGAAAATAACTGCAGTGAATTAATCATCAATTATAAATGTATGATATTAATCTTGATATCACACAAGCTACTGCCTATTTAGTTTCCTATAATATTGGACAACCACTAATTCCCAGAGCCTCTATTACAAATTGTCTATGTGGTGCCATTTTTTATGGGGATTCTTCCTCATGCCAAACATGTATATAACTAGTAGTAATTATTATTATTTTTTAATAAAACCTTTGTAACAGGCTGTATGTTCTCAATAAAAGTGGCTTAAATTTCCAAAAAAAAAAAAACAAATTTTCATTGATCTAACTTCACTCGAAAATCAGGATTTTTTTGAACATTCGGTTTTTTCCAAATAAAAATAATAAAATCAATACTTGTTAATAGTTAAGTGTGGATAAGACAATTTTAAAAAAATGTTGACTTCCATCATGTAGTATTGGCCCCTGTACCAATATTAATATTAACTTAACTTAATATACATATTCGTTGCCTGTATCAATACATTTAGATGATATTGTGTTGAACAACCGCATATTATGCTCGCGCTCTATAATAACACTGCTGGTGACGAGTATGATCCTATTAATATTAGTGTATGTCTTTCAGGTTTCATTGAATAGTTCGCCCTTGGGACCAGGCGGTGGCGAGAAATTAGAAACATCAAAGACATCAAACTCCTTGCCCAAAGTCGCTAAGAAAAACCGTATAAGAAATGTAAATACATAAAAACTACTTTGTACTTATACAAGCCAGGCACTAATGATTTCCAGGGTCTCTTTATTTTCATAATACATTTTCTTAGACCTATCTACACTGATACTGCAAGACTAATGTACACTAATACATTAGGTATTTGACAACAGTCGACATGAACTATATGATGCTAGTAATAATACTAATACTTATATGTGGATCTTTCAGCATTTTAGTAGAAGAAATTCAAATGAATTGCCCATAGCTATACTAAATGTTATGGTACTTGCTGACGTTGTGAAAGTACTAGAGGGTGTAAAATATAAGAGCATCAAAAATTGTTGTGAGTATTAAAAAAATTATTTTTCTCTAATAAGCAAAGCGAAAATAAGGGTATTAAAATGATCCAATTTCAATCAATTTTATCACTTTTTTTTAAAATAATTCCTGTAGACCTGTGACCTCTCCGCTTCCTCATTGCTTTGATTACATTATGCCTATACTCTACTGTACTAGTCCTCTCGGATAAAATCACTTTCAAATTAACGCTTTGATGCTCATTTGAAAATACAGAACCTTAATTTAAAACTTTCTAACTTTGCTGGTTTATACTGTGCTTGGTTTGGACCGTACTGGCTCGAAAATACTAACTACCGATTTGCATCGAAGCGCTTTTTCGAAAGTGATTTTATCACTTTCAGATTTAAAAATTCCTGTAAACCTGTGACCTCCCCGTCTGCACTATGCCCCAACCCAACTATGCAACGACCCCACTGTACTGGTTTTTTTTTTATTTGTAAATATTGCTTATACAAAAATCCTTAAAAACAGATCGCATACCAGATCCCCTTAGGTATATTTGGCAAGCAATTTTTTAAAATCATTATTCATATTTGAACGTTATCATCAAGTCCGTTTCCGCCAATGGTTGTTTTCGTATTTACGCCAACATATATTATTAGTTTAATACAATGACGAGAGATCAAACTTGAAATATTTTTTTGTATACAGATTCGAAAGCAAAACTAGACCCAGTGTTTATGACTCGGCTTATCGATGCCAGGAACGACATTCTTCGGGGATTAAAAGTAGGAAACTTAAAAGAAGAAGAAAAAAATGCACGTGCTGCTTTATTCTTTACAATAAAAACCAAATTATTTGAGAAGCTGGAGAATGAGAGCAAGGAGGAGTTATTTAATACTGAATATCCAAATGCCGACGTAGAAATAAACGAGGTCATCGATACGTTCATAAAGCACGTGAAACAATATTTATAAAACAAAAGTGTTGATGATGTGTAAATTGTAATACATTTGTTTTGTTTGATTGAAGTTTTATTGTTTATTTTTACATAATAAACTGTATATGAAAAATCCCTTGTTTTTATTTTTATTTGTATTTCCCGCCAATTGGATTTACTTTATTTGGTCAAAATAAACACGTTTTATCACCTATTGAAGATTTAAGGCCAATTTTTAATGTCGTCCCGCCGTTAACAAAAATAATGTCACACAAATTTTTATTTATTTGCAAAATATAATTACTAAAATATAATTACTACTAAAACATTTGAAATACACAACATATCTGGTCACAAATACAATATTATGTTCCTTTATCGACCTTAAACAAGTCATAACTGCAGATAAAGAAATATAGGACCCAGAAAACAAAAATACACTGTGCCTAGATTTTGTTAGATTGAAGTCGAATTTAAATTAAAGATTATAACTGAAAGGTTGTATTTTAAAAAAAAAAATTGTTTAATTATTAATTTGTAACATTACAAAAAATGTGTTTCTTCAACAAAATAAAAAGCTCGTTAAAAACATATTTATGTTTCCAAATGTGTATTTTGGCACAAAAACATGCGGTCTCAAGTTCATTTTTATAGCCAAAAAATATGTATTTAGGTCATGTTGATTGCTGTTTATGCGAATTGTTGTTGTTTTACCAAAAAAAAACGATTTTGAATGTCCATATGTGTTAACGCCATTACAAAGGCACAAACATGTTGTGGAAAATCTACTATGATAAACAAAAATGTAGGATACGTTATCGCTGAGATCTTTATGCAAACAGAAAAACCTGTGTATTATAGTAAATTTGTCAAAAAAAAATCTTTATATTCGCATGATATTATTAAATGTTAATATTATGCGAATATAAAATATATTATCAAAAAAAAATGTTCGCCGGAAATGTACTTTAGTGCGAGAGGCTGATAAAAAAATGAACTACTAATAAAATATCCTTAATACTATCCTTCTCTATTTCTTATTTTTGCATTCTATTCAAATGCAATACCATAGATTATCTGGCTATTGGGTTATGTTCATTATGTGTGATTAAAAATTACCGTCTGGTCGAATATATGATATCGCATAGTTTAATGTATATATTTTATAGTATATTTCTTTTTACACATTCGTTTCACAATTTTATATCTTAAGATTTAATAAAAGTAGCATCAACCGATACTTTTTATACATCTGTACTTTGAAATTCCTATCTCTATTTGCATAAGTTTCTGTATAGTTTCTAAGTAGCAAATATAATGTATGCAGTACAGTTAAAAAAGATTAAGTTGCATTGTTCAAATAGTCTTTAAATGCATGTTGTTATGATACTCCCCTTAAACTAAATCCTGACCACAACAATTGTTTTAATTATAGGTGAAATAAACCCTTGTGTCACGTCTAGGCTTCAGTTAGGTATACCAATAAAATCTATGGTCAATGATGAATACTTTTTTTGAGAGGTTTGGAGTTTTGACAATAGTAATAACTTGGCCACAGACTGTATGTATGATAAAGATGTTGGTTCAAGGTCGTCTGATTTTACATTATCACAAACTAGCCAATTGTGTTTTCAAGTACACTTGTGTAAGCTAAATATCAACTATATCTACCATATAAGAATACGTTTTATAAAACGTTACGCACGAAAATAAAATAATTTTACACAAATGTAATAAAATTACTTATCCTCTCTGAGACGATATACAAAAAATACATATTTTGTGTACATTAGCTAAGACTCATGTTTTCACGTTTTATACCTAGGTATACTTATTTAAAACACTGTTTCTAATGTTAGCATCGCTAAATTAATATGATAAATAATTGATTGACTGATAATCATTTCCAAAAAAATGTCTTTTATATATTTATAAAAATAAGCGGAAATGTAAAATATACCTAAATTGTTTTTATAATTTATAAGACATTTTTTTTTTACCTAAAGTTAAAATTGTTGGTTGTTAAAATATTTTTAGTTTATGACACATTAACGGCATTATAGCATTAGAGATTTATACAATTAATTAATCAGTAATAGCTTTTTTTTTTCAAGTTCTATCGATACATTTTTTTTTACATTTTATAAAGTTGTTTTCTACAATTTTTGTACAGCTTTATTATTGTATTTTATCACGCAAAAATGTTATGGTTTGTTGTTTATCGAAAACAAGTTATTTTTCTTAACCTTATTTTGTTTATTCAAATTTTTGAACTATGTTACAATAACTATGGCAAACAACAATTTTGTACGTTAAGATACATAATTATTGTTTTATATTGTCCCAATGTTAACATTTATAAATATTAAATTTGATTTGGATGTAAAGAACATGTATACCATACGATATGATGTTTTTAAGTATTGTTATTGGTGTGAATACAAAATTATTATTTACTACAATATGGTACTACCATACCATCAAATTTGGTATAAAAAAATATGTCCAAAAAAACCAATGATTTCAATAAAAACTGTATTTATAAAGTATACAATTTCTCTCAAGGTTAAAACTTTAAGGATTTCAACTTAGACTATATCTAAGAAAAGCATATTTATAAAATGCCGTTATTTTTTAATGCAGACCGGCCTATGTGCTTCTATATAACTTTAGGTGTATCGCATTCTTGTAAGTACAGCAGTACGCCCACCGGACAAAGTAGCGGAAAGTAGGGCGGGAACAATTGAGTCCGATTGGCTTAGAAGTTTGTTATCATCATAATAACATATTGAATAAAGCATATTTTTCTTAAGTAAACACAAAAGTATGACGTATGCGAAGAGCCGCCATTCTAAACAACAAAAGGCACCCCGAACAGTTAGTGGAACAGTCTTAGTGTGTTTTTGAGTTTCTTTGAGATAAGTTGATCTAGCATAAAAGTAAGCGATATTTGAAATTATTTTTTGTAAGACAATGGTATCGTAGGACAATGTTTTTCTTAAAATTTTTAAATTGTTTTTCTTATTGCCAACATAAAACATATATGTTTTATTTTTCCTAAAAAAAATTAAAATTTGGTAACGTTCAAATTTTACCATACTTCGCTTTGTATAAAATATCCAAATTTTTTAATTTTTTTGGGGATTTTTTAAAGCGATTACAACTTTGGAAAATTTTGTATCAGTTACCAAGGTTATTATAAATAAAAAAATGATTTTTTTTTTTATTTAGGCAATGATATTTTAAATTGCAACTGCTGTATTCATATTTTTTTTCGTTTCAATATTATGATTTTTTTATTGTTTTAGGTATTTAAAATGAAATTCAACGCGAGTGTTGCGCTGTTTGCAGTGTTTTTGTTCGGTGTTATTGTAAGTAAATATAGATTTTGGGCTAAATTACAGCTATTTCATTATTAATGTTTTTGTTTGATTTCCTCTCAATATTCTATTATACCTACCGCTATGTATTATATTTTTCGTACATAAAAAAAAAAAAACAAAAATAATAAAATCAATACTTTTTAATATTTTATTAAAGTTAAAACTTATAAGTGTGGATAAAATAATTTTTAAGTTTTCATTTAGTTAATACGTCATGACGTGTGGATAACTCTTAAAACAATGTTTGACTACTATTATATAGTATTGGCCCCTAGTACTAATAATGATATTAACTTAACCTAACCTACATATTCGTTAACTACTACAACTGACACATATTTATCTTTTTTTTCCCTCGAGAAATAGTTAAAATTTGGTAACGTTTACATTTTAACGTTCAAATTTTACCATATTTAACTTTTTTTTGTAGTTTCTAATGCACTATTAACTTTTAGACATTTTGTCAATTTATACTGGCCGATAAGATTAGAATAGTATTCGATTTTATCATTTAAAGCGAAGAAATTAAACTTTTACAATTAAATCCAATATGAGTGTTGCGCTATATGCAGTGTATTTGTTCGGTCTTATTGTAAGTAAATATAGATTTTTGACTACATTTTAACTATTTCTTTATTGATGTAGCTTGATCCTTTCCTCTCAATATTCGTATACCTAATTCCTAAGTATTTTTTTTTTCATTAAAAAAGTTCAAGTTTATTCAATCAGTATTTAGTTTTCATTTAGATAATGCGTCAACTTCTAAAAGACTTTTTAACTACCATTATAAAATATTGGCCACTTATAACAATAATGATATTAACTTAACCAAACCTACATATTCGTTGCCTGTATCAATGGATTTAGACGATATTGTGTTGAACAACCGCATAGGATCGCCCTCTATAATACTCCTGCTTGTGAAGCGTACCATACTACTAATATTAGTGTATGACTTTCAGGTGTCTTTGAATAGTTCGCCGATGGTACCAAGCGGTGGCGAGACATCAGGGACATCAGAGACATCAGACACCTTACCCATCTCTATACGCAACTACATATTGAATGTAAATACATAAAAACTAGTTTGTACTTAATTAGATCAAGCACTAATGATTTCCAGGGCCTCTTTAATTTCATAATACATTTTCTTTGATCTATCTTAAGTAAAACTGCAAGCCTAGTGTACTTTAATACATTGAGTATTTGACTAATATTAATACATGGGTCTTTCAGATTTTGATTTACAATAGACCAGGAGGATTGCCCACAAATGAACATGATTCTATAAAAGATATAGATTTTTCGAAAAATTTAGATAGTCTAAAAGATAATAGTTTTATATCAGACTGTGAGTATTTAAATAATTATTTTTCTCTTATGCACAAAACAAAATTGAGGGTATTAAAACGATAGAAATTTAAATTAAAAATAATGCACATATTGAAAAACACATTTGTAGTCAAACGTTTGTCTATTTTATCAATTTCCCAAACTTAAACTTTTAAATGTCTTTTTAAACTTTTAAACTTTGTGGAAATTAACGTAACAAAGAGCTGTCAGCCAGCATGAAAATGTTATACCGGGTAATTCTTTTTACGCCCTACACCAGTTTACTCATAAAGTAATTGCAAATTTGTAGTGTTTTTCTTTCAAAGTATTTTTGTCTATACTATATTAAAAAATGAGACATTATTTAAATTTTTATCCTTTCTAGTATTTGCTATAGCTTTATTAACTTATAAAATCTAAGGACCACGTATATATTTTATTAGCTTTAAAAATTAGGAACAATTTACTGAAAAGCTCTACTCTCCACCCTTCCTTAATTTTAAACTTTAATTATATCAAAACTGTTCATTCAAAACTGGTTATCGGCCAGTGAAAATGTTCAGCAAACTATTGTTAATTCGAAAAGTTTATAATATGTTTACGTTATCATTTAGGTTTCGAAATCTAATAAAGCTCAAGAAAATACTTAAAAGGTACAAATTTAAATAGGTATAATCGCATACAGTAATAAAGCATAAACAAACATGTGTCCAAAAAGAATAACTACAAAATTGCAATTATTTTAAGAGTAAACTAGTATAAGACTTTAAACAACCACCCGGTATTTAAAACACTTGTTGATTAAAGAAAAGCGGTTTTTTTCAAATAGACGTTTCAGACCAAAAAGCCAGACTACTTATAGTGGCCCGATTTGAATTCTGCAAAGATATACAGAAGATATAAAATTCACTGGAATCTTAACAAGGTTATGTAGAAAAGAGATTTTTTTATAAAATTGAATTTATTTAATTACAAGAAACCGGCATTTATGAATGAGATTTAGCTTTCTACATAACATAATAAAATAGCCGAAAAACTCAAATCTCTGCACAAGAATTGAAATTGGACCATCCTATGTAGTCTACATTTTGGCCTAGAATAAACCAAAGTTGCTTTAACAAAACTCCTTAAAAACAGACCGCATACAATCGCATAAATAAGTACATCTTTGGCAAACATTAAAAAAAATGTATATTCGAACGTTATCTTTAATTCCGTTTTTCACCAATGGTTGTTTTTCAATTAACGCCAACATATATTATTACAATATGTTGTCTATTAGTTTAATACGATGACCAGACAAAATCTGAATTGTTATTTGTATACAGATTTGAAATTCGGATTAGACCCTGAGTTTATTGCACGGGTTACCGAGGTCAAAGACCAAATTCATCTTGGAATAGCAGAAGGAAATTTAGTCAACAAAATTGATAAAGTACGTGCTAGTTTACTCGATATAACAAAAAAGAAAATAAATGAGAAGAATAGCAATAATGAATTAAAAACTGTAAAATATTATGCATGTAACGACGTACAACTAAATGAAGTCATCAATTATTTCATAGGCGACGTGAACAGTATCGATGATTTCTGTAAACTGTAATTCATTTGTTTTGTGCGATTGAAGCTTTATTGTTTATTTTTACACAATAAACTATATATTAAAAATCGTTGTTAATATTTTTATATATTTTTTTTTATTATTCAAAAGGCTTGACTGCAGGGTCGTTGGCGTATAGTTATAATATTTTAATTTTTCACGTTAAGTTAAACAATACACACTGCATATGTCCCGCCAGTTGCATTTACTTTATTTGTCTACATTGATAAAAATTTTCAAAAAGTATAATTATTATAATTTAAATCCAAAATAAATCATATTTGTATAGATATATTGCGCTTAATAACTTACTTAGTATCTGAAAAATCAGATATCGTCTAGACAATAAATAAACATTAAGCTTCACATTACAAAAAGTATTATAATATAATTAATATACGCCGGAAAAGACTTCTGAAAAATTTGAACTTACAAATTACAACTTTGAAAGTTGTATAGCTAGAAAAAATTAATTATATCTTCTTACATACTAAAATTAGTCGGCGTACTTAAAATGGTTACTAGATAGTTATGTGTGAAATATTGTCTATCCTTGCCTCCTTAATAAATAGCGCTTAGATTACTGTCTTGACACACGTAGTTTTTGTGATTTTATATATTATGCTCTTATTGCTAGATGATGACATATATATATAACGTATAAATATACAACGTGTGTGAGTGATGGAATGCAAAAATGTGTAAAAAAAATATAATGTCTGACAATTTTCATTTATTTGTTTAATGAACAGGTTTCATGTACTTGTAAACTATCCATCAATTTGTTGTAATTAAAACTAAATTTGAATCTTTTATCTTTTTTTCATCGAATCTGAATTGTAGGTAGTATGTTTCTTTTTAGACCTCTGTTTAATACAAGTCATAATTACAGACAGGGAAATATAGGACCCAGAATATAAAAGTACACTTTACCTAGAGTTTGTTAGATTAACGCCGATTATAAATCAAAAAGTGTAGCTGATGGGTTGTATTTTTATCAATTTTTTTTTTTATATAAATTTGTAACATTCCAAAAAAGTGTTTTTTCAACAAACAAAAACGCTCGTTGAAAAATAAATGTTTGTTTCAAAATGTGTATTTAGACACAAAAACATGCGGTCGCAGGTTCATTTTAACAGCAAAAAAAAAATAAGAATTTAGGTCATGGCGGTGCCGTTTATACAAATTATAGTTGGGTTACCGAAAATGATTTTGAATGCCCATATGTGTCAACGGCTTTACTAAGGCACATACATGTTGTGGAAAATACACTATGATAAACTAAAATGTAGGATACGTTATCGCAATGATCTTATGCGCGTAGAAAAACCTGTGAATTATCGTAAATTTGTAAAAAAAAACACATCGTTATATTGGCATGATAATATTAAATATTATTATTCTGCGAATGTAAAATAAATTTTCAAAAAAAATTGTACACCAAAGATGTAATAATTGCGAGAGGCTTTATTTTTTAATTCTGTATTAAAAAAGCTGTGATAGTCTGATAAAAAGAAGAACTACTAATAAAATATCCCCAATACTATCATTCTCTATTTCTTATTTTTGCATTCTATTCAAATGCGATACCATAGATTATCTGGCTATTGGGTTATGTTCATTATATGTGATAAAAAATTACCGTCTGGCCGAATATATGATATCGCATAGTTTAATGTATATATTTTATAGTATATTTCTTTTTAGACATTCGTTTAACTATTTTATATCTTAATATTTAAAAAATAGTAACATCAACCGATATTTTTTATTATCTGTACTTTGAAATTCCTATCTCTATTTGCATAAGTTTCTGTATAGTTTTTAAGTAGCAAATATAATGTATGCAGTACAGTTAAAAAAGATTAAGTTGCATTGTTCAAATAGTCTTTAAATGCATGTTGTTATGATACTCCCCTTAAACTAAATCCTGACCACAACAATTGTTTTAATTATAGGTGAAATAAACCCTTGTGTCACGTCTAGGCTTCAGTTAGGTATACCAATAAAATCTATGGTCAATAATGAATACTTTTTTTGAGAGGTTTGGAGTTTTGACAATAGTAATAACTTGGCCACAGACTGTATGTATGAAAAGATGTTGGTTCAAGGTCGTCTGATTTTACATTATCACAAACTAACCAATTGTGTTTTCAAGTACACTTGTGTAAGCTAAATATCAACTATATCTACCATATAAGAATACGTTTTATAAAACGTTACGCACGAAAATAAAATAATTTTACACAAATGTAATAAAATTACTTATCCTCTCTGAGACGATATAAAAAAAATACACATTTTGTGTACATTAGCTAAGACTCATGTTTTCATGTTTCATACATAGGTATACTTATTTAAAACACTGTCTCTAATGTTAGCATCGCTAAATTAATATGATAAATAATTGATTGACTGATAATCATTTCCAAAAAAATGTCTTTTATATATTTATAAGAATAAGCGGAAATGTAAAATATACTTAAATTGTTTTTATAATTTATAAGACATTTTTTTTTTACCTACAGTTAAAATTGTTGGTTGTTAAAATATTTTTAGTTTATGACACATTAACGGCATTATAGCATTAGAGATTTATACAATTAATTAATCAGTAATAGCTTTTTTTTTTCAAGTTCTATCGATACATTTTTTTTTACATTTTATAAAGTTGTTTTCTACAATTTTTGTACAGCTTTATTATTGTATTTTATCACGCAAAAATGTTATGGTTTGTTGTTTATCGAAAACAAGTTATTTTTCTTAACCTTATTTTGTTTATTCAAATGTTTGAACTATGTTACAATAACTATGGCAAACAACAATTTTGTACGTTAAGATACATAATTATTGTTTTATATTGTCCCAATGTTAACATTTATAAATATTAAATTTGATTTGGATGTAAAGAACATGTATACCATACGATATGATGTTTTTAAGTATTGTTATTGGTGTGAATACAAAATTATTATTTACTACAATATGGTACTACCATACCATCAAATTTGGTATAAAAAAATATGTCCAAAAAAACCAATGATTTCAATAAAAACTGTATTTATAAAGTATACAATTTCTCTCAAGGTTAAAACTTTAAGGATTTCAACTTAGACTATATCTAAGAAAAGCATATTTATAAAATGCCGTTATTTTTTAATGCAGACCGGCCTATGTGCTTCTATATAACTTTAGGTGTATCGCATTCTTGTAAGTACAGCAGTACGCCCACCGGACAAAGTAGCGGAAAGTAGGGCGGGAACAATTGAGTCCGATTGGCTTAGAAGTTTGTTATCATCATAATAACATATTGAATAAAGCATATTTTTCTTAAGTAAACACAAAAGTATGACGTATGCGAAGAACCGCAAATCTAACCAACAAAAGGCACCCCGAACAGTTAGTGGAACAGTCTTAGTGTGTTTTTGAGTTTCTTTGAGATAAGTTGATCTAGTATAAAAGTAAGCGATATTTGAAATTATTTTTTGTAAGACAATGGTATCGTAGGACAATGTTTTTCTTAAAATTTTTAAATTGTTTTTCTTATTGCCAACATAAAACATATATGTTTTATTTTTCCTAAAAAAAATTAAAATTTGGTAACGTTCAAATTTTACCATACTTCGCTTTGTATAAAATATCCAAATTTTTTAATTTTTTTGGGGATTTTTTAAAGCGATTACAACTTTGGAAAATTTTGTATCAGTTACCAAGGTTATTATAAATAAAAAAAATGATTTTTTTTTTTATTTAGGCAATGATATTTTAAATTGCAACTGCTATATTCATATTTTTTTTCGTTTCAATATTATTTTTTTATTGTTTTAGGTATTTAAAATGAAATTCAACGCGAGTGTTGCGCTGTTTGCAGTGTTTTTGTTCGGTGTTATTGTAAGTAAATATAGATTTTGGGCTAAATTACAGCTATTTCATTATTAATGGTTTTGTTTGATTTCCTCTCAATATTCTATTATACCTACCGCTATGTATTATATTTTTCGTATATAAAAAAAAAAAAACAAAAATAATAAAATCAATACTTTTTAATATTTTATTAAAGTTAAAACTTATAAGTGTGGATAAAATAATTTTTTAAGTTTTCATTTAGTTAATACGTCATGACGTGTGGATAACTCTTAAAAGAATGTTTGACTACTATTATATAGTATTGGCCCCTAGTACTAATAATGATATTAACTTAACCTAACCTACATATTCGTTAACTACTACAACTGACACATATTTATCTTTTTTTTCCCTCGAGAAATAGTTAAAATTTGGTAACGTTTACATTTTAACGTTCAAATTTTACCATATTTAACTTTTTTTTGTAGTTTCTAATGCACTATTAACTTTTAGACATTTTGTCAATTTATACTGGCCGATAAGATTAGAATAGTATTCGATTTTATCATTTAAAGCGAAGAAATTAAACTTTTACAATTAAATCCAATATGAGTGTTGCGCTATATGCAGTGTATTTGTTCGGTCTTATTGTAAGTAAATATAGATTTTGGACTACATTTTAACTATTTTATTATTAATGAAGTTTAATCCTTTTCTCTCAAAATTCTTTTACCTAATTCCTAAGTATTTTTTTTTTCATTAAAAAAGTTCAAGTTTATTCAATCAGTATTTAGTTTTCATTTATTTAATGCGTCAACTTCTCTAAAACTTTTTGACTATCATTATAAAATATTGGCCACTTGTACCAATAATGATATTAACTTAACCTAACCTACATATTCGTTGCCTGTATCAATGGATTTAGACGATATTGTGTTGAACAACCGCGTAAGATCGCGCTCTATTGTACTACTGCTTGTGAAGTGTACGATAATACTAATATTAGTGTATGTCTTTCAGGTGTCTTTGAATAGTTCGCCCATGGTACCAAGCGGTGGCGAAACATCAGGGACATCAGAAACATCAAACTCCTTGCCCGTAGCTATAAGAAACTATATATTGAGTGTAAATACATAAAAACTAGTTTTTACTTATTTAGGTCAAACACTAATGATTTCCATGGCCTCATTAATTTCATAATACATTTTCTTTGACCTATCTTAAGTAAAACTGCAAGCCTAGTGTACTTTAATACATTGAGTATTTGACGACAGTCGACAATAGCTGTATGTTATACTAGTAATAATACTAATACTAATATGTGGGTCTTTCAGGTTTTGACCTACAATAGACCAGGAGGAATACCCAAGAATGAATATAAATCCATAACAAATCCTGATTTTTTGACAAATTTAGATAGTCTAAAAGATAATAGTTTTATATCAGACTGTGAGTATTTAAATAATTATTTTTCTCTTATGTGCAAAGGAAAAATGAGGGTATTAAAACGATAGAAATTTAAATTAAAAATAATGCACTTATTGAAAAACACATTTGTTGTCAATGTTTGTTTATTTTAACAACTTTTAAAACACCTACTTATAAATGTCTTAAACTTTGTGGAAATTTGCCTAAAAAGAGCTGTCAAGCCACTCATAAAACAAAAATGTAGTTTTAATATTGAAAAAATGTCAAATTGTATTTATTAAATTACAAGAAATTGACATTTTTTTAATAAGATTCTTCTAACTACATATCTAATTAATATTTATTAGTTTATTACAATGACCAGACCAAACATGAAATATTATTTGTATACAGATTCGAAATTTCTATTAGACCCAGAGTTTATTGCACGGGTTACCGAGGCCCAAGACCAAATTCTTCTTGGATTAAAAAATGGAAATTCAGAAGACCAAGATAAAAAAGCATCGGATGCTTTACTCGATATAACAATAAAGAAAATAAATGAGAAGAAGGCCAAAAATGAATTAAAAACTTCAGAATTTTATGTAGATACCACTAATAAACTATACACCCTAATCAATATTTTCATAAATTACGTGAAACATGATTTATAAAACAAATGTATTGATGATTTGTAAATTATAATTCATTTATTTTGTTTGATTGAAGCTTTATTGTTTATTTTTACAAAATAAACTATATATTAAAAATCGTTGTTAATATTTCAATTTTTTTTTTTATTATTCAAAAGGCTTGACTCCAGGGTCGTTGGCGTACAGTTAATATTTTAATTTGTCACGTTTAGTTAAACAATACACACTGCATATGTCCCACCAATTAGATTTACTTTATTTGTCCAAAATAAATATTTACCAATTTCAAACGTTGTCTGGCCGTCAACAAAGAAAATAGATTAGTCTAAATTCTTCTTCTTATCTTTTATTAAATATAATACTACTCTATGTAACATGATAAAATAAAAAATGATTGAAAAACAAGCTGGAAATGAACGATGCGATCAAATATGTTTACAGAATTAAAATACGAAGTAGGCGTAATTTTATCAGGATTTTAGATCTAAATTGGTTTCTTGTGTCACCAAAATGGTTTTAACTCATAGAAAAAATTGTATACATTAAGAAACATTATAATACCCTGAAGCTTGACCTTAAATAAATTTGATATGGTCGACATTTACTAAAGCTTTTTTTTCTTAGATTTTGCCTGTATAAAACAACTTAAAAACCACCCACTTTCATTTCCCTTAACAGCAATTATTTCACAATTTAAGATTTAATATTGAATCTTATAATATCCGATGTTATAATAAAACATGGTCTAAATCTTTTGTATACATTTTGAACAGCTGTGGAAATTTTTGAAAATATGACCCTCGGCCCTTCCCCATTGATTCAAAATTTCAAAACGTTTAATTAATATAAATTAAATTCAAAATAAACAAAATTTTTCTAGATATATTGCGCTTAATAACTTACTTAGTATCTGAAATTGATTTCATTAATCAAACTTTCGCCATAACTCTGAGAGAAATAACTTTGAAAGTTATACAGCTAGAAAAAATGAATAACAATGGTTACAATATATTTGTGTCAAATATTGCTTAGCCATTTGCATAAAGATCACCAAATGACATTATCCTTCAATTTTGTGTGTCATAGTAAATTGTTTACAATATGTTTGTACCATAAACACATTTGGATACCTAAAATCGTTTTGGTAAAACAACAACAGTAGGCATAAACAGCACCGCAATGACCTAAACTCATCATAATTCTCGACCATTTATTTTTATGCCTAACAAATGTAATAAACACATTTGGAAACCAAAATATGTTTTTAAAGAAAGTATTTTTGAAAAAAAAATGTTCTCGTTAAGTTAAAAATGTATAATAAAAATATAAATTTATAACAAATACACCCCCTCGGTGAAACTCTTAAATTAAAATTCGTGGTTACCTAAAAAATCTAATATTTATTTTTATAGAAATGTACAATGTACATAGTATTGAGGACACTTTATTAGTAGCTAAATTTTTATCAGGCTATCACACAATATTGTGTGATAGCCTGAATTAAACCTAAAATTCCAACAAAAAAAAAATTATCGGCGTAGGTACATTTTTGGAAAATATATTTTTGAAAATAAGTCTCTCTAGATATATCATTAATTATAGAAAGTGTGATAAATGTCTATAAAAATAATTAGAAAAATTAAAATAAATAATTTGTATAACTCTTTATAGAATTCATAATATGTGATTAAAAATCACAAGTCTAGCCAAAAATATGATATCGCATGGTTTAATGTATATGCTTAATGAACAGGTTTATGTACTTGTACAATATCCACCAAATTGTTGTAAATAAAACTAAATTTCTGTCTTTTATCTTATTTACAACGAGTAGTAATTGTGTTATGTTTCTTTTTGGACCATTGTTCAACACAAGTTATAATTATTACAGACAGAAAATATAGGATCCAGAAAATAATAATACACTGTGCCTAGATTTTGTTAGAATAACCCCGAATCTAAATTAAAGAGTGTAACTGAAGGGTTGTATTTTTTATGAATTAGTATTTTTATTATACTTTTTAAACTTAATAACAAATTTGTTTTTTCAAAAAAAACTTCATTGAAAACATATTTTGGTGTCCAAATGTGTTTTTTTCCATTAGTTAGGCACAAAAAAATATGGTCGTGAATTCATTATGATGAATTTAGGTCATGGCGGTGCTGTTTATGCCAGTTGTATTTGCAAAAAGCGATTTTAAGTATGATGTGTTCCAGATGTGTTCATGGCACAAACATGTTATGGAAAAAATACTACGCCTAAGCCTGTGTATTGTAATAAATTTGTAAAAAACAAAAAACAATGATATTAAACATTATTATGCGAATATAAAAATGATTTTCAAAAAAATATTTGCGAAGGATGTACTTTAGTGCGAGCGGCTGTTTTTATTTAGAAATCCTGTATTAATAAAGGTTGTGATATTCTTAGAGAAAATTGCTATTAAAGTTACCTTCATAGTTAATGTAAAAACTATTTTAGATTTATTCAACCAGTACTGTCTACAACGAAAGCCTTAAAAACTAGTATATGGACATCCTATGAACTTCCCACATGCCATTTGGCACACAAGTCATAAATACAGACAGGGAAATATAGAACCCTAGATAATAGTAATTTTTTGTCATAACGTTGGGATTCAGTAGGAGGGATTCATTTTTATATCGTGGACTGCAAAATAAACTTAGGTGTAACTCTAGGTATGTTACATTCTTCTAAGTACCGCATTAGGTACTCTGACCAGACAAAGTGGTGGAAAGTAGGGCGTGAACAATTGAATCCGATTGGTCTAGAACATTGTTATCTTCGTAATATCTTGAATAAAGCATACTTTTTCTTAAGTAAACACAAAAACGCCAAGTATTACAGGTAATCTAAATAAATATGACGTATGCAAAGAGTCGCAAATCTTACCAACAAAAGGCAACTCAAACACCACTAACAGTATTAGTGTGTGTGAGAAGAAGGGCAATAATGAATTTAAAACTTTAGAACTTTATGCTGATAACGAAGAAGAACTAAATGAGGTCATCACTGATTTCATAGTAGACGTGAAAGATTATGTATACAACAAAAGTATTGATGATTTGTAAATTATAATACATTTGTTTTGTTTGATTGGAAGTTCATTGTTTATTTTACATAACATACTATATATTAAAAATCGTTCTTTATATTTTAATTTGTTACGTATAATATATAGTCAAACAAAACACACGGAATATTTCCCGCCAATTGGATTTACTTTATTTGGCCTAATATACATTTATTATCTATTATAGATTTAATGCCAATTTTAAATGTCTTCCCGCCGTCAACAAAGGAAATAGTTTAGTCTCAATTCTTCATCTTATCTTGTATTAAATAAAATAATAAAAATTATTGAAAAACAACCCGGAAAAAAAGAACACAGAGATCAAGTATGGCCTTAAAGATAGCTTATGAGTCTTAATTATTTTGAATAAGTTTTTATTTACCTTACATACATTTTTTGTTAAGGGGATTGAAAATGGGCTGTTTCTCAAGTTGTTTTATATAGGGCATATTTAAGGAAAATTGGTTTCATTAGTTTCGACCGCATACATTTTTCTATGAATAAAAGCCATTTTAGTGGAATAAAATTCTTTCGTTCTGATAAAATTTTGAAACTGGCTATTATATAGGTATTTAAAGATATATCAGGAACATATTATCAAAATATTAAATGGCTTTAATCAACTTTAAAGTGAAAACGCTCTTAAAAACCTAAAATAAACGAAAATATAAAGCGTTTTTTTTTCATATTATTTGATTTGATTTTCGGTAAAAACAACCATAAAAACATTATACCGAATTATGTACATTTGAAAGGTGTCGCATTTAAATAGACAGCAAAATTAAGAAATGGAGAATTTGCAAAAACAATCTGATTTAAGCTGATTGCCTTACTGAAGAATAGGTTTTAATTTAAATTTTAAGCATTATTTCCAACCTCTTCAGATAATTGGTGATCAATTGCATTTTTAAAATTTAATTTTAATAAACTGTTCAAACAAAGTGTATTATCAACACAGATTTACTGAAATCGATAGTATAAAGAATGCAATAACAAAAATACATACGACAATTTTACCAAATTACCCAGTCCATAAAAATCTTTATAATTTAACTCTTTTTAGAATTCATTATGTAATGTGATTAAAAATTACAGTATGGCCACAAATATGATATCGCCATTTTTTAACTTAAATGTGTATGTTTAGTGAACAGTTTTCATGTACACTATCCACCAAATTGTTGTGTATTTAGGGACCAAAAAATGCGGTCGCAAGTTCATTTTGATAACCAAAAAAACAAGAATTTAGGTCATGGCTGTGCTGTTTATACGAATTGTTGTTGTTTAACCAAAATCGATTTTGAATGCCCATATATGTTAACGGCATTACTAAAGCACAAACATGTTGTGGAAAATAAACCATGATAAACAAAAATACAGGATACCTTATCGCTATGATCATTATTCGAATAGAAAAACCTGTGTATTATAGTAAATTTGTAAAAAAAAAAATGAAACATCTTTATATCCGAATGATGATATTCAATATTGTTGTAAAAATATAACAATTATTTACAAAAATATACTTTAGTGCGAGAGGTTGGTTTTTTAAATAATTCTATATTAACAAAGGTTAGGAATGATAGTCTGATAAAAAAATGGAACTACAAATCAAGTATCCTCAATACTATTATAATTCATAATTAATGTAAAATACCAATTTCAGAACTACATAAATTTTGTTCAAAGAATTTTGTCTAGAACGAAAGCCTTAAAAACTAGTATATTATGCGGCATCCTCTAAACTTTCGTTTGGCCAGTTGGCTCATAACTATAGAAGGGGAAATATAGATCCAGAAAATAAAAACTATTGTCTCCTAAATT